TGACTTGAGCACCACTGGAATAAAGAGGAAAGGACAGAGGAGAACCCAACTGTTAGCTGATGGACTGAAAGTCTAGTGAGGAACAAGTGATAACAAAAAAAAAAAAAAAAGAGAAAAATGAGTACTGCTGAAAGAGCACAGCAGAGATCAGAGACATACAAGCTTGGTGAAGATCAATTAAAACTTGTCCACAGTTTCAGGTGAAACAAGACAGACTATTATCAGACCTCCAAACAACTGATTTCTTCTGTCAAGCAACAAACCTCACAGCTGTTTGCAGATGATACTTTAGATGAACCAGGCTACTTAATGATGCTTGAAAAACCATTGGTTTGTTCTACCTTCTGCCATTTTTTATAAGATCATAATTCTTCTGTTTAGTTTTTACCATGAAGGTGGTTAAGCATTGCAACAGGTTACCCAGAGAGGCTGTGGAATCTCCATCTTTGAAAGTTTAAGGGCAGGTTAGATCGGCGCATGACTGGAATGGTTTAGTCAGACAATCCTGCCTTGAGCACAGGTTTGAACTAGATGACTGCCTGAGGTCCCTTCCAGCCCTACTAATCTATAATTCCTCTGCTGTATTAGTTGACAGTTGTAGGTTTATTTACTCTGGGTTTAAATTTAAAATAAAACCTACAAAATGGACAGCTCAATTTTAACACTGGACAATTAAAGAGAGCAATGTACAATAGTTTCAAATATACTAGTGTGGTTTATTGGCATGACTGTGTAGCAATCTCAGTTCCACAAAAGGATTAACTATTACCATGGAATACCTGCTTTTAATCTCAGTTGAATTAATTGGATCTAGTATGAAATTACTTTGCTACCATTAAAAATATTCAAAACAAAACAACTCTGCTATTCAGTTACATATGAAACTTCCATATTCAATGATGGAATTTATGCACTGGAAGAAGTGATCCACTTGCATCTTTCCAGCTGATTCAGTAAACTAAAAGACTGCAAAAGTAGTCATAATATTATCCAGTGCAAGCTGCAACAGGCAACAGCAGAAATTCAGTTCCCCTGAGATGTATGAAATTATTCAAAATTCCCTCACTTACATAAATTCCTTCAGGAGACCCTTCTATATTTAAATACACACAAAAGCTTTGAGGGCCGAGCACAAAAACAATTTAAGGGGGTTATTTGAATACCATGTTCTATTATCTGATACATTTCATATTTGCTTTAATTCTCTAGCTAGATTCAGATTACAAATCATGAAGTTATAAAAGCAGGCTAAAGAGTTAACACCAAATCTGAAAAACAGCTTTGATATGCATCAGGTTCAGAGAGGACTATGAAGTGAAATCTTGAGTGATTAGACTACGCAGATGTTAGAAAAAATGAAGAGTCATGAAGCAGGCTGGCAGCACAGAGGAACAAGAGAAATACCCAGAACTGTTTAAGAAAGCAAAACTAAAAATAACTGAGGACTCTTTGAAGATGCACTATGAGTGCATGAAGAAACTTTCAGCTATAGAAATGGAAAATGGAGCAATTGTATACAAAAATTACAGAAGAGCTGGTCAAACAGTAGCTGTAATTCTACTTAAAATACAACACTGAATGCTTCATTTGACACCTTCCAAGTGACAGCTAGAAACTTAGGAACTAGTTACAAAACCAAAATTAGCAAATGACGAATTTGCAATTACAAGCAGTCCTTGACTTATGAGTGTTCAAGTTACAACAAATGTCACTTAAGACCTTTGTAAATTACAACACTGTTTCAAGATTCCAGCGGGGTTTTGACTTTAAAGCGCTGGACACAGCTGCCTCCAGCTAGTAAGTCTGTTGTGGGAGAGTATGGGGGGCAGATCAACACCCCCCACAGCGAGGCAGGGATTGGGGATGGGACAGGGGCTACCCAGCCGGGGCACCCAGAGGGGGTGAGGCAGCTCCAGCCACTGTGCGCCTCCTGTCTGGGAGGACATGGGGGAAGGAGGGTGCCCTCGGATCTGCGTGGGGCGCTCCAGGCAGGTGGCGGAAGGTGCTGGGAGTGGTGGCTATGCCCTCCTGCTACTTGCCCAGCCGGGGCAGGGTGGAGCCACTGCACTGCCTCAGGAGAAGCAGCGCACAGCAGCCATAGCTGCCCTGGCCTTCCCATGCCTCCCAGCCCTGGCTGGGCATGCCCCTGGATCAGTGTTGAGTGTGGTAGAGGAACCAATCCCCCATTTGTAACATTGTTCCTATGGGAAAATTGGTTCCAAGCTTTGTGCCTCCTCACTGTTTTGAGAGAAAAGTTGTATTCATCTCCATGCACCCAAATCTACCCAGACTCTAGGTACACTGGAGTACCAGGGCACACTTCCCATTGCAGAACCTAACAGTTTCACTCGCAGGCCCAGGGAGGCCAACCAAACTTGCCCTAAAAATAAAGAAGACAAATGAACAGAGAAAAGATGAATTAAGGCCTCTAGGCAACATAGCTGACTTAGAAAAAACCACAGGGGATTTCCTGTTGTGGGAGAAAATACAGATCATCCAACAGTTGGAGTTTCAGCCAGGAATTGGAAGGCACCAGAGAGGTCCTGAGCCTACCACTAATAAAATGATAAACTTTAACATTGTTATCAGTATTGTTAACAACCACATGGATAGGTGGTAACTACTACTTACCAGCAATAAAATCTTTTAAGAAAATGTCATGCAGCCTCCATGATTTTATATAGGGTAGGTTATCATAGGGTGCCCATCACCAAGGAATCTATTAAATCTACTCATGTACCATATCAAGATATTAAAAATTATTCTCAATGATTAAGTCAAATAGTTTGCAATATCATTTGTTGAAAAGTGGGATTTGGAGTACCTTTTATTCCACTAATTTTGCAATACATTTGTATCCATGCACCATGTTGTTTAGATAACTGATGGAAAATTGAAACAATATCTTTAAGTTTGAAAAAATCAAATAGAAAATGTTAGTACAGCAATTCACATTAACACAAAGTTCAGACTATATAACAATGTTTCCTATACATTTACAATGCTGCAATTAGTTAAATTTGTTACTAAAAGGTTATTTTTTTGGTAATTAAAGAAATATTCCAGCAACTGTGATCAGTATTAAAAGAAAATATTGACAAGCTGCACACTAACCTGTCCCAGCCCAGGCATACCTCCTCCAAGTCGTAGAAGTCTGTCCATATTTCTAGAAAACAGAAACAAAGGAAAAGGTTCCCAAGCTCTGAAGTGTTTACTAAATTGCTATCTGTATAATTCACCTTCAGTCACTCAGTATGTCAAAAATATTGGTGGTAATTACAACACAACATCAGACTTCCTGTTAATTAACACCACATATTAATTCAAGAAGCTGTCTTCCATGCTAATTAACAGACCTCGCTTTATTGCTTTGGTTTTGGGTTATCCCCATTTCTGAAGACAAGCATTCTTGTCATACTTTTCAAAACTTTGCTACCAGTCAATTAATTATATTTTTCCTGTTACCTGAAAACAGCACCTGCATAGAGAAAGTGCCTGGAAGTTATTACAGATATGACTGAGTTTCCTTCAATTTGTCCAGAGTGCATCAATAAAAATTTAAAAGTAAGGATTTTTAACATCCTCATTAGTAAGTTCTGTGCTAATTAACTTACAGCTTGTCAGTTATCATCAAAACTGCATGTGAAAGACACTGAGCAGATTATGGATCTCTGAATTAGCATCAAAAGCTTTTTTAATGAACTCATTATACTAAAAGAAATACTGTAAAGTAAACATTAAATGCATTTAGTTAGAATACTAGGGGCAGTGCCATTATTTCATGCATTTCAAATGTTTCTTATAGGATCCCTTAGTGTATTCCAGGAATAGAGCTAAACAACTCTTGTGGTTAAATAACTGAATTTCCCCACTTTTACAATCCTTAAATAAGGAAATAATCTTGATTAAGTATACCTCAGAGTACCTGTTCATTACTCCTTCCCACTTTTAAATAATTTAATTTCTTTCATTTCACTGCTGCAATTCCTTCTCTTCTTGAGACGCACACACATAATCATAAATATCATTTCAAATACATAGGAAATATGCTGTCCTAAAATATAGTAGGTTTAGTACTTTATGTCACTTTCCAGGGCATGCAATTAAGTTTTAAAAACAAACCAGGGACCAGGGCAGCTAGTGATGATTTGACACACAATAGTTAAAAAAACCCAGCTAACTCAATGTCTCAGAATTTGACATGGACTAACGGCCAATCTTACTTGAAAAGTGAAAGAGTAAAGCATCAAAAAATAATAAATCACATCCTTAATATCACAGGACTTTTGAATAAATTGAAACCGGCATGACTTAGCTCACCACTACGGGCTCCTACGCATGTGCAGAGGCTGCTCTGACGCACTGGAGTTCCAGTGCGTCAGAGCAGACTCGATTAATCGAGTAATCGAGTCTGCCGGAGCAAAGAAACCGATGGGCTCTGGCAGCCTTCTGAGTCACGTGCATCAGTATTGCTGTGCGTCTCCATGCTGAAAAAATGGTGGCAAGACGATTTGAAATAAAACATGTTCAATGAGCTTCAGTTCAAAGCGCCCCACTGCCATTTTCTCAGCACGGGGACACGTGGCAGCATTGATACATGACGTGCAGGTGCTTTAAATAGCACGGCTCGCTAATTAAAAGCGCCTGGCACCATATCCCAGCACATGTAAAAATGCCCTACAAGCCTGCTCAAGTGTACCCTTGTATGCCTGCTTTAAAAAACAGAGTGAAAACAGCAAGTGACCATATTTCGAAAGCAAATGAGTTCTCACCCCATTTATTATGCATTCACAAAAAAAAAAAAAAAAATAGAGATTGCATTAACAATACAAATTCAAAAACCTGATGCAGGCTCAGGTTCAGAAAAAGGGATATGGATAGAAGTATGATATCTGGAGTAGGGAAAAACAGCATGGGGATGAAGGGTCTGAAGGACCAGAAAAATAAGTTTAGTCTATGTATTGAAAGTAAAAGTAGAGAATAGATGGTGCTTATTTTGAAAAAAAAGAGATGGGTCCAATACCCGTTTTAAATTATATTATCATTCTTCTTAACTAGTTATAAGTGGGAGTCTGAGCATTATTTGTGTCTTTATTCCCTAATATTTGGAGAGTTTTATTATGCAGGTTGTGTCAAAAACAACTAAGTGACAACTCTTTTACTTAGAAGCCACGCACCCCTAGGTTAGACAACAGATTTGTAGAACGGTTTGGACAGGGATTATCTCATCTCTGGCAGGAGGTTGGACTAGATGACCTCAAAAATCCCTTCCAGCCCTACTTTTCAATGATTCTAAAGCTATAGTTACCCAGATAACACTTTTATAAAGATCAATGAAGCAGAAAAGGAAGAGTTAGAAGTTAGTGAAGAAAGAAACCCTTTAAAAAAGTACCACTCATTACCTTTCCACATATCTTAAATGTTACAGAAGACCAGATCAAATTTTTGTTTCTTACCTGGCACTCAGTCAGAGCTTTCACACTCTGGTCAATAGAGTTGGCGGGAGCTACTTAACCTCTGGTGTGGCCCCCACACTTCCTGGTAGCCTATAAACTAGTTAAGTCTTCTTCCTTAAATAAGAAAAAAAAAAAAAAAAAGAGGAAAAAGCAGTATTTTAAAAACAAAAGCATAGAAAATATCATGCTTCATTTTCTGAAGAAGAAAGGCGTTTGAATAAGGTTTCAAACTAAAACAAAAAAAGTTACTGCTTGCATTTGTGCTAGAGAATTTAACGCACTGCATAAAATCTGCATTGCCACCCTCTCTGCAGAAGTTTCCCAGACACACAGGCCACTTACAAACGTTCAAAAAAGAAAAAACAAAAAACCAACCCCCTCCCCCCCCATACTTTACCAGAAGCAGCACTGCATTACTTCAACCTTTGTGGCATCTGTATAATTTGGGTGCTTCACCAGGGGTTTTTGGCACTTTTATCTAAAGTTCAGTCAGTCAGCTATTAGATAAAAACGCCAAAAAAGCCCCACTAAAGCACCTGATCCATACAGATGTTGTGCGAGCTGGGTCCAACTAAGGCAGGGACAAGCAAAGTCCACCCTGTGGGCCAGTTCTGGTCACCAGGGGACTCCATTTCCCAGCAATCCCTGCCTGCCTGCATGGGAAGAGGCATGTGCTGGACTCAGCATGGGAATACACCAAGTGAAATAAAGTACCAGGGTTTTTTTCTGAATATCTGTAAGCAGCCACAGTGGCACTATAGATAGGTAAAAATCAAGCTTCATGTTTTAGTAACCACCCTTTTCCAGAGATGGGAAAGGGAAAACAACTTCTGTAACTAATAAGAAAAAAAAGTGTTTGTCCATAATTATCTAAAATTTGAAATTTAATAGAGGAATGGGCAGTGATGTTTTAGCAGTAAGAGCAGAATAAACTAAATATATTTACTAAATGGATTTAAATCTAGTTGAAACTAAAAAAAGGAATACCTATGAATTGTTTAGGACATTTTTAGTTAAATAATCTGTGACCGTATTACAGGAAATTTACAACAAAGAAAGTCATCCAGTTTTCAAATTTAAAATCTCAACAGTTTCACTTTTTTTGGAGAACTATTGGAATAGCAGTGATTTCACAAAATTCAGATACCACAAAAGCATATATTGTGCAAAGGAAGTTTTAATGAGAACTTGTTAAAACCAAGTTTTATTTTCATCAAAAGAAAATTCAGCTTAGATCTGTCTAAAAGTGACATGAATAAACTTTCCCAAATCTCTGAAACCTTGGGCACATGTTTTTTTTCCAGATTATAATTGGTGGTACACTTCATCCCACAGGCCCAGTTCTACCACACAGAGCCAGCCTGGCTAGGGCCTGATCTAGCCCATTTTTCACAACACACTTCCATCACTCTCATGGCACACCTTTTGGGAATCACTGATACAAGGTATAGATTTTAATCATGGCTTAAATTAGGCAAGCAGAAAATATTAAGATTATTTAAATGAAGGTTGATTTGTATTTATACTTCAATTACTTCCCCCCAAAAAATGTTGTTTGGTAGAACAATAAAAACCATGTTGAGCTGCAACAAAATAGTTTTTAAACTAAACTCAGTATTTTGTACCAAAGGATACACTATAGCTATGCACATACATTTAATAATTTATTTAAGCTCAATATACATCTCTCTAGATTCTTAATCATTCTATTTTGATTTTGTTAAAACAACATAATAATTAAATGTTGTTTGCTATTTCTACTCTAAACTATTTCTACTTGTCATACTAAATTTAACAGGAAATGCAAATTCAATTAAAAAGTAATCACAAGCACTTTTTAATATTACTTGCATAAGAATTTCTTCCAAAATATGATTAAGATGGAAAGTGATTTATTAAACAAAGGAAGTGTTAATTCTTTAAAACAGAAACAAAGTTGTCATTTGACAACCTTGGGCAGGTTTTCAAAGAAACTTATGCAGGCAACTATAGATACCTATTGTGGCCATCTCCATCTTTATGTGCACCTAACTACTTTTGAAACCTCAAGACCAAGGCTTTAACACATCTCAATTGCTTTCTCTCCCTTCTAGCCCCTTTCTTATTCATAGATTATAAAACGTGCTGGGGGGAAGCTTTTCCATTTCTTCACCCCAGTTCCCAGTTGGTTTTTCAATTCTGAATTGACTAAGTCCAGCGAAAAAGATACTTTGTTCTCCACCTGGTAGCCCTACATAGAGGCGCACCGATAAAGACTTTTTGGGCTGATACCGATGGCCGATTATTAACAAGCCATGTCATCTGATAGCGATCCAATTGCTGATATGCAGCCCGGCAGCTTGGAAAGCAGCATCCGGCTGGTAAGTCCGTTGGAGGGGAAGGGGCATGGGGGAGGAAAGAGGCATGGTGGGGGGGGGGGGGAAGGACA